TTGGCTCGAAAGAAAGATGGGTTCAAGGTGAGGGAACTGATCCATGATGCGGATTCAGCTACTTGAGCTAAGGAAGGAGGGTAGTAAAAACAACGATTCTAGCTCAAGTATGTATATCGGTATCAACAAGCCTATTCAAGCAATGCATCAGAAGATATTTACATTTCAAGTTCAAGGTTATCACTTAGCTAGAGTTGAGTGTAATTCAAACTTGTTTCTCAGATTCAAATCGTTTCAAGCTTTACAAGCACAGAATGAGTTTCACAAGCATATTTAGTTCAAGTTCTCAAGTGATTTACTCTCTAGGAAAAAATCTATCATTGCTCCTTGCACTGATGCAATCCTACATGATGCAACTAGAATGATGTAATTTATCACATGTATTAAGCTAAATGAGACTCAAGAATGCAAAAGTCAAATAAGAACAAAGAAAACAAGATCAGAAAACACAAATCTCCTCCCCCACACTTAGATAACACAGTCCCTTGTGTTATAAAAGCGTGTGAGAGAAGTGAAAAGACAAACTGAACGAATGCAAGATGATATATACAAGATGCATATGTACAAGGTTTAAAGTCGATACCTTAGTCGGAGAGGTCGGATCCCAAGTAGTGCGAGGGATTCGATGTTGAGCAGGATGGAGTGGGCTGACGTGGTGGGCTGCTTTCTGAGGGTTCAGGCAGGAAAGTCGTGGCTGGATCGATCCAGTCTTCTTTGCCTGGTGGAAACTCCGGGTTCCTCGCGTTTGAGCTTTCTCCAACTCCTTCTTCTGTAATCGGTGCGGTTGAGGTCGCTGAGTTCCTATCCGGCGAGGATGGCCTCGTGAGCTGCTTTACCTTCTTCTTCAAATGCCTCACACAATCCACCAATGCGTGGATGGTTTTGTCTTGCCACTTACACCACTTTTGGAGGGTGTTCACTCGTGAATACAGCTTCTTGGTGTGGTATTCAGGCTCACCCCACACTTGCGGATCGAAGTGATAGCGGCCTGCTCCGATCCTTCTCTCATATTGTCTCTGCTCCTCGTTATCACAATCTTCCGGGCCATTAGTGTTCTCGGGTTTGCTAGGTGCTGCCTTGGTGCATTTGCGTGTTGGTGGGTCGAAAGCTGGGTTATACAACTGGTCTTTGAGAACGTAGAACGAGACGTTACACTGCTTGTCGAGCATGGTGAGGCTTCGGTTAGGCAGTAGAACCTGCGTGCCGTCTTTATGCAGTAGGGTGAAGTCGTAAACCCATTTATCCCCTGACTTACCTCCAAAGAAACCACTTTTGCTTAGGTATAACTCATCAATGAGATTCGACTTCTTTGGTGAATCAGGGAATATAAACCCTTGAGCCCTCAGGATCTTGGTGACTATCCAACCGTTCTGAAGTCTTCTTGCTCCTCGCTTCTTGCGGTCGCACCATACATTGTGCCGATAAGTGAGCATTTGAATGGCAAAGAATGCACCCAATGATGGTACATGCAGCGGCCCTCGGAACTCTTTCTTGTTCTTCATTTGAGTGATGAACGGCTTCAGTCCGAGTCCCAATAGTTCAAGCTCGGCCGTGTGAATAACACCAGGGTTAAAGGTCGAGAAGAATGTTGATGCTAGGACGCGGTTTGTGTATCTGATCGCAGGGTTCCTTATGCAGCTTGTCTTGCTCTTGCCTCCGAGGTAGGGTCCAAAAGATATTGTTTCCCACAATGCGGCCAACTCATCACGAGGGTACACAAACTTGTCAAGCGAGCTTCCACTCCTTTCAAACCCAAAGATTTCATCAAGCTCCTTGAAACTGACCTTGTAGTGCACGCTATCCATTTCAAATTCAATGTGGCCGAATCCTTTGCCATGTAAACGCTTTGGATCTCTCTTGGGGTAGATGATGACCTCCAAGGTTGCAAGAAACTGCTGTGTAATCCCTTCATAGGCAACATTATCTCAAAGAACTTTGCCAAGCCCATATTCTCAAAAATGAGGGTCACGTCATCAAGTATCTCGAGTTTCTTCAGCAACTCCAAGTCAGGGAATCGACCTTGAGCCACTCTGATTGAGTTGAAGTGGTCCTTGTATTCCTCAGTGGTTGGGAAGTGCTCATCCTCGGGCTCGGCCTTTGGTTCTTTCTTGGACTTTTTGTCACCGTCGTCATCAGATCCCACAGCTGCCTTCTTCCCGTTCCTCTTTGACTCGAGAGCTGGTGCCAGAGTGAGTTCAGTATTGCTTGCTCGTTTGGGGGTTGGCTCGTCATCGGGTCGCATCGAGGGTTTCTTGCTGGTCTCTCCAATACGTGGCACGGCAACTTTGGCGGGGTCTTCACCAAAGTTGGAGATAATTAAGCAAAGATTCCAGAACAGTTGGAATAATCCAATTCGGACCAGTGGAGAGAAAGATATGGCTTCCGGAGCGTTCACCAGCCTTGCGCGTACCCGAGAACTGAACGGCGAACTTCAAAGATCATGGCGGACGGAGCCTTTCCTGTCCGAACCAGCTTACCCGGTCTTCATCAAAGTTCGAAATCCATGGAAGATCTTCTCAGAGCATTTGGAATCTCTCAATTCGGAGCAAAGGTTTGGAAGATAGGGTCTCCGGAGTTCACATCGGTCTAAAAGTCTATTTTCCGGTAATTTCAATGCGGCGCAAAGATGTGAAATCCAGGAAGCCTTCCACTCCCCAAGCTCCGATGGTTTCTTCACCAAAGTTCGAGCTTATTGAGTCATCTTGACTGTGGAACTGGTCACATAGCAATTGGAGTCGTGTGCTGAAAGTTACTGCTTCCGGAAGGTGACATGGTCGATACAAGCCTAAAAGAGTTGCGATACGCGCTAAGTATTTTCACAAGCCTCGGTATCTTTACCTTGGCGTCACTTAAGTCGAGGCTCATATCTTGGAAGTATTCTGGACTAGACCTCGTGCCAAAGCCTTGGCATGGTTAGATCGAGGCATGCATACGTAAGGACAGAAGCTGGAAACGACTAAGTGTTGAAAGTACACCTCGGTGAAATGACCTCGGCGTGCATGCCGGACTGTGTTCTCCCAAGCACCTCGACATCATGACCCCTCGACATTTTATCCCGAGGTCCCTTGTCACGAACCCAGAATCAAGAACAGAATGGCTCAAGAACATACACGTGAGGATAGATCAAAGACTAGGGTTCATGCATGTTCTTGACGTGTTCTTCACGAGATCTTCATCTGGATCCTGACTCACGTGCACGCCTCGGCATGAAGACCTCGGCTTCACTTTCCGACACACCGTGGCACTCACCCATCAACCCAAGAGGGCGATTCAGTACCCGGTTTGTTCCGGGCTGACCCGCGACACTTTCCCTTTGCTATAAATACATTTTGAGACTAAAAACCTAGTGATCTTATCTCTTATCTGTTTTTAGGTCTAAGAACTTGCCTCTTTCGTGAAACTTGATTAATCAAAGACTTAGTGAGCTCGTTATGATCAGTGAGTAGTCGTTTAAGCGGCTTTAGATAGGTAGATTAGGGTGCTTTCAAGGTGGATTAATGGGTTTAGGTGTCTAGTCTTGCATGTTTCATTCCTTAACCGACGAGATCTCTAAGCTGGATCCAAGCACATCACTTGAGGTTCAGATCTGAGACATATCTCGCATCAGAAGTGTTCGTAGAAATGTCTGAACCACTCGGTTAAGGGTTTAGGAGTCTTTCATCGCGAGAGTGATAGTTTGTTCCCTTAAATGACGTTTTTGAACCGATTCTTATTGCTGACTGATTCGTGCTTCTCAAAAGGGATTTTGGTATGAAAGAGGATCAGTTTAGACGTTTAATACTTTCATGAGAAGATTAACGTGCCTTGAGTTCAAAGTCAAATGAAATCGCTTGATAAAATGATTCATTAGCCCCTTAGTCTAACTTGGAAGCACCCGAGTCAAATATCCTGTCTAAAGCTTCTGCCTTTATCATTCATTACCATCATCTGAATCACCTGTTTGTTGTTTGCATCTTGCTTAGTTTAAATCTCTGCTTTTTATTTACTTTTATTGCTTATTTGCCTGATTATCATCGTCACCAAACGTTTACCTTCTTGTCTTGACTTAAGTGAACAAATGACATAGGCTAGTGTCTCGTTTACAAGCTTGGTTTGACACCCCTTATACTACTTTGACAAGGGGATTGATAACCTTTCTAAGAGCTTGAAAACTCTTAGTTATCAATTGGCGCCGTTGCCAACTTGTAGGAGCATTAGTCTCTTGTTTGTTCTTGAGTTCAAGCTTTTCTTTCCTTTGTTTTACTAACTTCTTTCCAAGTTCTTGTTTTGTTTTCAGGTGCATGAATACCAGGTCTCGGAGCACAGGATCGCTTTTCCCATACGACGATAACATCGACAGATTAGAAAGGCGAGCTCACGAGAGAGAACGGCACTTTGACAGACTTGGAATGGCAGAACAACAGAGAATGGAGCAACAGGCTCAGGCAGCCGAGCACCAGGCTCAGGCTAATCAGGCACAGGCAGGAAGAAATGAACAACAAGCCTATGTTAATCAGCAACAGGCTCAAAGAAACGAACGGCTTGCTCAGCAAAACCAACACCAAGCGAATAGAAATGAACAACAAGCCCATCATGTTCATCCGCCACCACCCCAAGTTCAGCGACAACATCCTCCAATCTGTGTTGGAGAGAATGACCGAGCTAATGCGCACCAATACCGAGCTAATGCGCACCAATACCGAGCTGGAATTCAAGCTCCACCAGTTCAAAACAACAACTTTGAAGTTAAAGCTTCCCTGCTCAATATGGTGCAAAACTCAAAGTTCCACGGTCTGCCTGGAGAAGACCCTCTCGAGCATCTAGATCAATTTGATCGGGTTTGCGACTTAACCAAGATAAATGGCGTCTCCGAAGATAGCTTCAAGCTACGCTTGTTCCCTTTCAGCCTCGGTGATAAAGCACACCAGTGGGAAAAGAATATACCGAGGGGTTCTATACAAACCTGGGAGCAGTGTAAACTGGCGTTCTTATCAAAGTTCTTTTCCACATCACGCACGGCTAAGCTCAGGAATCAGATCTCATGTTTCACGCAGCACAATAACGAGAGCTTTAGTGAAGCTTGGGAACGGTTTAGAAGCTACACTAACCAATGCCCACACCACGGCTTCTCAGAGGCATCCCTCTTGAGTACTTTATACCGAGGTGCACTCCCCAAGATCAGAAACCAACTCGATACAGCTTCAAATGGGAATTTTCTTGGAAAAGAGATCACTGCAGCAATGGAACTAGTTGAGAACCTAGCCATGTCAAATGACACGTATGGAGAGGAATTTGATAGAGCAAACCGTACAGAGGGATCTAGTGATGAACAGCGCATGAAAAAGGATATAAGAGAGCTTCAGAGTAAGCTTGACAAGGTTTTGATGGCGACTCAAAAGCCAATACACTTTGTAGGCGAGTTTGATGAGCAAGGGCCAAGTTTTGACAATGTTAATGAAGATGGTCTAACACAAGAGGAGCTGAATTACATAGGGAATCAGCAGAGGTATCAGCGGTTTAACAACTACAACAGTAACCCAAACCTCTCATACAGAAACCCAAATGTAGCTAACCCTCAAGACCAAGTGTACCCTGCTCAACAACAACAACAAAGCTATGCTCAAAAGGCTCCTTTTCAGAATACCTTCCAGCCCAAGCAACAGTTCAGTGGGCAACAGCACGGCTACACTCAGCAGAATCAAGCGGCTCAGAGTAACACCTTCAACAACCAACCGCAGCAACACAAGTTTCCACCAGGGTTCCATCCGCAGCAGATGGGTAATCAACAACAGATTCAAGGAACAGGTCAGAATCAAATGGGGAACGACGTCTGTGGGATACTACAGCAACTGTTACAGGGCCAGCAAAGGGTTGAGAGCCAGCACGCGACAATGCAGCAAGATATCAGAGAGATTAAGCAGAATCAAGCTTCTACATCATCAAGAAGCCCGACTTTACCAGGTAAACCGGAGCCGAACCCTAAAGAGTATGTGAACGCCATCACATTGAGGAGTGGTAAGGAATTACAAACTCCAACGCCTAAGACAAAGCTCATTGAGGCCAATGAGCAATTAGCGGGGGAGGCAGCCTCAGACGATGCGTGTAAAGAAGCGGTCTTAGAGAAGGAACCGATCAAGGACAAAGGAAAAGAGGTGGAAAAGACAACTGAGCTTGAAAAGCCCTATGTTCCACCACCACCTTATCAACCCAAGATACCGTTCCCAGGGCGTTTCAAAAAGAAAATTCTAGACAAGGCCAAGGCGGTCTTTGAGAAACACTTGGAGAACACGCAACTCACCTTACCCATTATAGATGCTTTCTTAGCTATACCCCAGCTTGGGAAGCTTCTAAAGGACGCGATCCTCAACAAGACAAAGGAGCTCCAGGGTATGGTGATACTGAGCCATGAGTGCAGTGCCATAATACAAAGAAGATCTATACCAAGGAAGCTATCCGATCCGGGCAGCTTCACTTTGCCGTGTGCTTTAGGTCACCTGAAGTTCTCAAACTGTTTATGTGACCTTGGAGCTTCTGTGAGCTTAATTCCTTACACGGTGGCCAAGAGATTGGGATACAAAAGCTACAAGCCAGCCAAGATCTCTCTTGTATTAGCTGATAGATCAGTTAGATTACCGGTGGGGTTTGGTTGAGGATCTACCTTTGAAGATCGGTGAGATAGAAATCCCCACGGACTTCATAGTTCTTGAGATGGACGAGGAACCATTAGACCCTATCATCTTAGGCCGACCGTTCTTAGCAACCGCAGGAGCCGTAATAGATGTGAGAGGAGGAATGATTGAACTACACATAGGTTCTGAGACTATGAAGTTCAACGTGAAGGAAATGATGAAGAAACCGACCATTGGAGGTCAGGTTTTCTATGTGGAGGTAATGGAGGAGCTGGCTGATGAGCTCCTTGAAGAGTTGAACGCAGAGGATCCGTTACAAGTGGTCTTAACGCGGGAACAAAGCGAGCATGGGTACTTGAACGAAGAAAGTGAGGTGTACAAGCGTCTTTTGGACCAACCGAGGGAACTTGGAGCTGAGGCGAGGTTTTTGGAGCTCCACACGAGCAGCCTCGACATCCTAGACAGCGAGGGATCCACGGAAACAGAAGAGACACCTCGGGATATCATGGCCGTGACAACTCATACCGAGGCCGATGGTAAACCGCGCGAGAACGAAGCAAAGGCCGAGGAAGCTGTTCCAGGCCAATGCAACTTTGATGCCGATTGGAATGAGGCAAACGCACCCCCTGTTGAGCTCAAGCCTCTACCAACAGGGCTCAGGTATGCGTTCTTAGGTCTGAACTCTACTTTTCCTGTGATCATAAACGATAGCTTGCTTGAACATGAAGAACGTGCATTGCTTAATGAAATAAGGAAATTCAGGAGAGCCATAGGGTATTCCTTGGCTGACATTAGAGGAATCTCTCCTGATATATGCACCCACAGGATCCACCTAGAGGACCAAGCCATGTCCTCTATTGAGCACCAACGTCGATTTAACCCGAACCTCAAGGAGGTGGTTAAGAAGGAGATACTAAAGCTCCTTGAGGCAGGGATAATTTATCCAATCTCTGACTCTCGATGGGTATCTCCTGTACACGTTGTGCCCAAGAAAGGTGGAATCACGGTAGTGAAAAACGATAAGGATGAACTCATAGCCCAAAGAACTATAACCGGCCATCGCATGTGCATTTACTATAGGAAATTGAATTCTGCATCAAGAAAATATCATTTTCCTTTACCATTCATTGATCAAATGCTTGAACGGTTAGCTAATCACCCTTATTTTTGTTTTCTCGATGGATACTCGGGGTTCTTTCAAATACCTATAGACCCCCGAGATCAAGAGAAAACGACATTCACCTGCCCTTATGGCACTTATGCTTATAGAAGAATGCCATTCGGTTTGTGTAATGCACCGGCCACTTTTCAAAGATGTATGATGCACATTTTCTCTGATCTAATTGAAGAGAAAGTTGAGGTGTTTATGGATGACTTCTCCGTATACGGCTCCTCTTTCTCCGAATGTCTTGCTAATCTTTCTCAGGTTCTCAAGCGATGTGAGGAGCATAGGCTTGTCTTAAACTGGGAAAAGTGTCATTTCATGGTCCAAGAAGGCATTGTCTTGGGACACAAGGTATCAGAGAAAGGCATCGAGGTGGATAAGGCCAAGATCGAGGTGATGGTGAACTTACAAGCCCCGAATTCTGTGAAAGGAATAAGAAGCTTCCTTGGCCACGCTGGGTTCTATAGACGATTCATCAAGGATTTCTCCAAGATAGCCAGGCCTTTGACCAGGTTATTGTGCAAAGAAGTGGATTTCAACTTTGATGAAGAATGTGAGGAAGCATTCAAGATAATCAAGGAGGCTTTGATCAGTGCACCGATTGTACAAGCCCCTGATTGGTCTTTACCATTTGAAGTGATGACCGATGCATCTGATTATGCTGTAAGAGCTGTCTTGGGACAGAAGAAAGATAAGAAGCTCCATGTGATCTACTATGCCAGCCGCACTTTGGACTCGGCTCAAGAAAAGTATGCCACCACCGAGAAGGAAATGCTTGCCATTGTGTTTGCATTTGACAAATTCAGGAGTTATCTAGTGGGATCAAAGGTCACAGTTTACACAGATCACGCGGCCTTGAGGTACCTGATGTCTAAGAAGGACGCTAAGCCGAGGCTTTTGAGATGGGTCTTATTACTCCAAGAATTTGACATGGAGATACTTGATAAGAAGGGCATTGAAAATGGAGCCGCAGATCACCTCTCAAGGCTGAGGATTGAAGAACAGGTCCCAATAGATGATGCTTTACCCGAGGAACATCTCATGTTAGTCCGGTCTTACTTAGAGATATAAGGAAGCCAATACGATCAAGGAAAGAAGCCTTCCATGGTTCGCGGATCTTGTGAACTACTTGTCTTGCGGATTAGAGCCACCAGATCTTGATACTTATCAGAGGAAGAAGTTCTTTAGAGATGTGATGAGGTATCATTGGGATGAGCCGTATCTTTACGTGCTTAACAAGGACCATCTCTATAGGCGATGCTTGGCCGAAGAAGAGATCCATCCAGTGCTACAAGAATGCCACGGCTCATCGTATGGTGGTCATTTAGGTGCGTTCAAGACAGTTGCCAAGGTTCTACAGAGCGGTTTCTGGTGGCCGACCATGTTCAAAGACGCCCAGGAAGTGGTCTCGAGGTGTAAGGCTTGTCAAAGGCACGGAAACATATCCAAAAGGAATGAAATGCCCCAAAACCCAATCTTTGAAGTAGAAGTCTTCGACTGTTGGGGCATTGACATCATGGGTCCCTTTGTAAGCTCATATGGGAATCAATATATCCTTGTAGCAGTGGATGTGAGTAAATGGGTTGAAGCGGTTGCATCTCCGACCAACGATTCAAAAGTGGTGGTAAAACTCTTCAAGAGTATCATCTTCCCACGGTTTGGAGTACCAAGAGTAGTCATCAGTGATGGGGGAAGCCATTTCATCAACAAGACTCTTGAGAGTCTTTTGAAGAAGCACGGAGTAAAGCACAAGGTGGCCACTCCTTATCATCCGCAAACCAGCGGCCAAGTGGAGGTTTCCAACCGTCAGATAAAGGCCATTTTGGAGAGGACCGTGAACTCATCCAGGAAGGATTGGAGCAAGAAACTTGACGATGCCCTGTGGGCTTACAGAACCGCCTACAAGACCCCCATTGGGACTTCACCATTTAACTTGCTCTATGGGAAAAGCTGTCATCTACCAGTTGAGTTGGAATACAAGGCCTTGTGAGCAGTGAAACTTCTGAACTTTGACATCAAGACCGCACAAGAAAAGAGGGTTTTACAGCTTCATGAGCTTGAGGAGATCCGGTTAGATGCTTTCGAGAGCTCTAAGATCTACAAAGAAAGAACCAAGGCGCTCCATGACAAGAAGATACACAAGAGAGAGTTCAAAGAAGGGGACCAAGTTCTGTTGTTTAACTCAAGACTCAAGCTGTTCCCTGGGAAGCTGAGGTCTAGGTGGTCCGGTCCGTTCACGATTCTTGAAGTGAGACCCTATGGAGCCGTGGTTTGGAAAGGAAAAGATGGACAAGGCTTTGTGGTAAACAGCTAGAGGGTAAAGCATTACTTGGC